TACTTTACTAGCCTGTTCACAGACTCTCTTCATTTTAGATATCTTCGAGTGCACGTATAAAAAAAAGGCGCGTTCCGCCCTCTCTCACGAGCAATCGCTTATCTTAGCGCGCACCAAATTCCCAAAAGAGAAAAACGTCTGTGAGCAGGTTAGTACTTTCTGTTTCTTCATATTTTGCCCACAGAGCTGGCAAGTAAAATTAATGACGGTTTTTTTCAGCAGGTCAACGTCGAGCGCTTTGCGGCGAACGGGCTTGGGTGGTACTTCTAATTCTAGTTGCTGACAAATTTTTGGAAACATTCTAAGTTTACGTCACTCCAGAGATCCTCCCTTGGCCATGGCACAGATATCGTGCTGATCGTAAGTGATGGGGTGCTGTAGCGTGATGGATAGGATTGTTTCTCTTGCCATGGTAAAGTTTTCCTCTTCTACTACAGCTTGGATTTCAGCATCGTCGGATGTTTGCCGTCGGACCTTCGCTGCAAGACGTGAGAGATATGAAGTGCACTGCTGCGGGGTAAGAAACTCGGATACTTTGAACAAACGAACACCATCAGGTCCTTTTGCACGTCTCATTTCACGTGATACGATATCACCGTCTAGTTTTCTGCCGCTGGTTTGATCAATTGTAAACCTCGCATTTAGATAATCCCTCTAGTTTTGGTTAAGGCGTGTGAAGAGTGCCCCTTTGGTCCACTTTACTGCGCGAACAGATGAAACGTTTGCTTTTTACATCTTATGACGACATTTTCTTCAGAACCGCTATATTCTGCGATGTTCGTTTTAAAAATTTTGTAGAACAAATCAAGGGCTATAAATTTATAAAGGGGCGAAGGGGCTTAAGTCTTTTACAAAGCAAAACCCCTCGGGGTGGTAGACACCCGCTCTTCCTGCGCACCAGGGTGGTAAATGGATGCCTTTCATGCGTCTGAAGGCTATAACAAACGATAAACGTACACCGTTTTACTCAAACTATAAAAAAAAGTTTGCGCGATGACATAAATTTAAAGAAGGATAAAATTGTGAATTTTCATTAGACTAACCTTCTGATGTTGTTTCCAATGGGATCTCTTTTCCCTTTCCCATACCATAAGCGCGCCAAGCTACGAGAATTTCGTCTTTAAACTCGAAATTGTTTCCAGAGTTTCCTGAAGACTTTGACAACGGCCACAAAGACGAGTGTGTTGGTGACTGCATTGTTGCTGGTAATCTGCATCACTACTGTCGCTAAGAGCAAACAAAACACATTGGTCTGCTACGTTAGAGGTGCTAGTGACATGAACCTATTGACAAAACAAAGTTGAGATTGCTGTTTGTCTGTGCTTATACTTCAATATAATATTTAATCAAATGATTTTTTTAATCTAACAAATATTATTAACGTAAGGGGGGCGAATAACTTTTAACCTTAACCTTAGAAAAGACCACTATCCTCGTGCGCGCATTGTTAATCTCGAGAATTTATGTAAGCTAGTTAAACGTGCACCATTTAGAGAAGAAAAAGAGAACAAAATATATATTTTTTTACGGAATGATTTTGTTGTTTTGTACTTATTTTTAGTTTTATTCAAGCTGTCTTTCTGGAGTTAGAATTCACATTACCTTATAGTCCCCTTCAAATACTGCTTGCTTGTCATAAGAACTTGCACAACTGTAGTCTCCCACTCTTTTCCGGAACCTATTTCCCCTATTTGGCGTATGAGGACCATGCCACGAGATCATCAAATGCACGAGCACCTTCAGCTGCAAAATAATCTAAGCCCTGCAGTGATTTTCTTACAGAGGCACTGCACTCAGAGAGTACTCGTCTCATAGTAGTTTCCCTGAATGGTTTGAAGTTGGTCTCCAAACAGTACTGAGTGTACTGTTGTACCACTCGCTCGGGTATCATCATACGGATTGTGTTAGGCACTTGAATAACCTCACCAGACTGAACAAGATGCGGGCTCGTAGTGAATCCAAGAAAGTGGCCAAGCTGCCTCAAGTCTACTCGTATTCGTGTGGTAGGCTGATTTGTAACTTAAGCGCCTCGGCCAGACTGTGATCGATGAAGATTAGCTATGGAGTATCGGTATCTCTTCAACCCCGGGATATAATGGGAAATGTCGTTTAAAGTTCCAACCCCTGCCATAATCGAAAGCACTTGTTTACGGGTATCCCAGCTGGTTGCGTTTTGGTACGCTTCTGCTGGGGCCTCTAAATACAAATGCTCTGAATGTGACAACTCGCTTACACCTAGTGCCTTGTTCATAGCCGTAGAAGAGGCTAAACGTCGCCAGAGTTCACCAGCATTATTAGGGGTGACGCTCTTTAGCACAGTTGCTACTATTTCTGTGGCTCTCCTTGTCTGACGCTGTCTTGCTCGTTCAGAGGAATCACTCCAAGAAAGCCATGGCTTTCCAAGCGGTTCAAGTTTGCATGCTACCAGAAACTCACTCAGCTTTTCGCGCGGCTCAGGTAAGATCGCAGGTGTGGGCTCGTCACTCTGAGTGGAAGATGTGCTTATTGTGTCTGGTGACAGAAAGGTGTCATCAGTGATTGTAAGACGTCCAAGGCTTTCTGCGAACTCTTCAACAGATTGACTGGAGAGCTGTTGAGCTGTTCTGTAACATACAAAAAAGACGTTTAGACATCAATGTTACTCCAATATTTCTGTTTATTTTGTCACCAGGCATTAGTTTTTTTTAATTATAGTTCGAAACTTAAATTATACATCATTTTAAAAAAGAAAATATGAATTTACACGCATACCACTATTATTATCAATAATTCCGCTCCGGCCAGACCGAAAGGAATTTAAAGAAACAAACAGTGACCTATTCGTCTTAAAATCATTTTCAGAGTCATTTTCAAAGTTTACAGTTATTCACAGTTACCCAGCCCTTTCGGAATTTCGACATTTGTTATGTTGGCATAACTGTCTGTATCCAAGGTTACCGTTTACTTACTTACATTTGCTTCTGAAGTCTCTAGTTCTACGCATGGAGTAACTTCAATCATTGGTGCGGGTGTCACCTTCCGTTGTTGGTTTGTCTTCGCGAAATGTTGCTTGCACATTCTGCAAAGAGCTGTGGCAAAAATAAATGTTAACCTCGTTAAAAGGCCATCGAGGGCATATTGTCAATGACAAGTGCAACTCTTCCACTGCAAATACCCCTAAACAAAGGCAAAGGGAAAATTATCCATTGCATACATCACGACCGAGTTGAGAGGCTCCTGTGCTAGGAGATCTCAAGGTCGCGTTTTCATAAAAAGTCTTTAAAGTCTGTGTATCAGTGACAGGTGTGTGTGTGCGTGGGTGGCGGAGCGGAGGGGGGGGGGGGGTGGGTGTGGTGAATAGAGATCTTTTTTGCTATCGTAAGCGTTAGGGTTGCACAATATTAACGCCGCGGATAAAAGCCTGCGATTTTCAAAGAGATGAACTCGTTTGCTTATTGTTCTTGCAAGCCAGATACAAAAGAGCGGTACACAAGTACTGGGGACAATAATTTTGTCAAATGGAAGGCGGCATTTCGGTTCGACCGACCGAAATAACCTGACCGGTCAAAGTGGACCAGCTTCAAAGGCGTTCCCAAATATTCTGGTAGGACTGAACCGAAATGGTCCATTTCATTTGATTTCTAACCGAAACTTCCGGTATTTTGGGCTGAATGGAAAGCACCCGAAGATTTTCCTAGAATAACATGACCATCGTGAGGTCTGTGATAAAGAGATGATGGAGATGTACACCACTATTAGCAGTTACGTAAGACAGTAAGACAGTACATAAGATTTACCTGCTCTTGCTAACAGCAGTTTCCATTCAGTGTCAAGTGCTGTATCTGCTTTTAATCCATACAGCTCGCAGTGCATCGATATGTCCCTTGTACAATTTCTTAAAGCGAGAACTTCAACTTGGCCTGGATAATCGCTGCGTAAACCACAGGGTGTGGCGTCGTTTAATAAACCAGGAAAACTACATGAACTGTTCAATACTGCTAACCTGTCGTTGGATTATGATATTAAGGAAACCTTGAAGCGAATTCGTAAACTTAAAAAGGGGAAATCAAATAAATAAAAAACAAACAAAAAATCAGTTAGAAGCACACTCCCTTAATTGGCCCAGTGTCATATTTATTGTTTGTATGTGATATGCCCGTAAGGAATTCTAATTCGGAATAGCAAGGTCTAGGATTAAAATGCATCTATTCCCAGCTGAGTAATTGTGTTTGCAATATTCTTTCAATAACAGCTTTCAAACTGTTTATTCATCCTGTGCCAATCCTGAAAAGTTGAAGTTGTTTTAAGTGCATTTACAGAACACTACCGTGTAAAAAGTTATAACCATAGGAGGGCTCACCTTTCAGGTAAAGAAATTATCCAGGATTGGTCTCATTCCCAATGTGTTTTCTCATGGCTAACTTGGTGGTAACGCCCGTCCTGTTGATAATAACCTACGAGAAGATAAAACTGCGAGGGTCCTTTCTCCAAATAATTGATGGACAGAACCTCGATGTCTTTAATAAATAAACTATAGTTTTCAGGTCCGAGTCCGAATTATCCAGAATATCTCGTAACGTGCAGTGCATCAGTGACCATGTCAAGGTGTTCATTATAACATTTACTGTTCATTATTGTGCAACCAAATAGTGGTGCTGTTAATATTTCAAAAACTAGACTTCTGATTACCCTCGTAATCTTTCTCGAGAGGCCTAAAAGCGATCGAGAAATGGGAATAGAGATTCGTCTGTTTTATTTTTCCTCTGCAAAAGTAGGGTTTAAATCAATGAGATTTGAAATCAGAAGGAAATTTAAGCTAAAAGCTAGACTGAAATATAGATAAAAATGTTCCAATCACAACTTAAACAGTTTTTTGTTGGTACAGAAAGAATCTGTTAAAAAAAACAAATGAATTAATTTAAAAAAAATTTTCGAAATCAGCTCATAAATTCGAAAATTTGCACAACGCCATCATCATTTGAGTTCCCACCTGTCAAACCAGGTCAATCTGCTTCATTTTATTATGAGCCTCCTCCACCTCCGCCTTGTTTCGCATGGGTACCATTACCTCCCCCAGAATACCCACCATTTCTGCCTGATGCACCATTATCCTCTGATCCACTTCCCCCACCACCAAAGCCGCTTACTGCTCCTGGTGCAGGGCCCCCATTATTACCGCTATTCATATCTCCTCCTTGACCTCTTGATCCAGCCTTTAGCACCTGATCCAATTTTCTGAGAAAGCTTGCTGAGAGACATAATAAACCCAACTGGAACGATGGAAGAAAATTGGAAGAATTTCATTTGTATGAGAAGTTTGTTTAACTCATTATTTAACTCATTACAGGACACCATAAGGACCACGTTCGATAAAATAGTTGATTTAGTAAGAGGAAGGGTCTTCTTTTCAGAACGGGAGAGCGCACGGATAACCTGGACGCAACTCATTTTCGACTTCCGTTGTTGGTGTTGCAATTCTCGCCAATAAGTTCTAGACGTCATTTCGCTGGTTTTCCCGTCGCGATCAAAACTTCTAAGAATTATGTAAATTGTGCACTTGTACACGAGATAATACTGTTTGGAGTGATCTCAAAATTAATTTCCAGGATAATGAGGTCTCTTTCCAGTGGACAACTTAAATATATAAGTTAATGTCTCGTTTCTGGAGAGAAGGAAGGGCAATTATGACCAATCACTAATCAACAACGCTGCCGATGAAACTCAAGCGAGACTTAACAACTCTTCTTGGGTTTATCGACATCAGAATCAAGCATAAGGTCTAAAAGGTGTTTTATTGAAGGCTCTCACTTACAGTAAACATGACACGCTTATTGAAAACTTTTTCGCTTGATACAATTTTCTATACTCTGTACCATGTCGTGTTCAAATCTTACTGTAAATCCATGTATGAGGATCATGTTTAGGCTACATCACGAAATAATTTGAATACCACGTACTACAATGAACTAGAATTCTCAAAATGAGTTAAACAATCTAGAAATTAACTACAAATTAGACTTAAACTCACTACCAAATTTCTAATTTTGTAATATTCTTAGACCTTTTCGTTATTTTTTTTTATTTTGAATGAATTGTCAGTAATATAAGCATGATATATATGGACATCACTTTAAGTCCTACTGATTATAATGCTCGTAAAGAAGTTATGAAAATTCTAATAAATGGGTTACCTAGATTATTGTTAAACTACAAAACCTCTAATAAGCGATGTCTTACCCTGTGTATTTATTTTGTTTGTTTTTTGTTATGCTATCAACGGTTTTATTCATTAATCTATTATTCAACAAGAGATACCAATGTAATTAAATAATTAGAAGTGGAGTCTGGGTGCAAAATTCTCTCAAGCGAGTTGTGAAAATAAACATCTATAATTTTTATTGAGCCACTAAATTTCCTGGCATACCTAAACGTTTCTCTAAGTTATTTGATAAGTCTGCACTAACGATAAACGTTCTAAAACTAAGAAAATGGACGTCACTTTACATTCAGGGTCTACTGTAATGCTCGAAAAAGAGTTAAAAAATTCTGAAAATGAACTATTTAGATTACTACTTGGGTAGCTTAATAAACTACCAAAGAACTAAGTAATGATTTTTTATCGAATAAAATGTTAACTTTTCTTTCGTTTCATTTTTATTTATTCATCTTTAAGAGATACCGATGAAATAGAAAAAAACAAAAAACCAGAAAAAAAAAAGATACCGATACTTTGCTGTCGAACTGGGGTATTTAAATAGTTGTTATGATAATGCCAGATCTCCCAGAGCTGAGGCCTAGACCGTAAAATTTTCTGAGTTCTTTGACATAATCTTTAGCCCCAAATAACCATCACTGTAGCTCCTACTGACTAAATTTCTTGTAAACGAGTAAAACATTTTTATGAAATTAACTATTCAGATCATCAGGATATTGCTAAGTATCAACCATATGAAATGTTAAACCGTAAATGCTTTGTTATCTCTTAGATTAAAGACCCTAGAAATTAGCTATTAAAAACTAAAAGTATGCAATTTTGAAATATGCTAAAAGCAGCAGACTAGCAAAATTAGGTAGTTAAACTTGTCAAATACAACACACATACACATGCAAAAAAAACAAATGAAATAAAATAAACAAACGAAAAACAAACAGAAAGAATAAAACAGACAAAATGAAACGGAAATGAAGACAGAAGTGCCATTACACGCCCATTCAGAGATAGCGCCCAATATGTTCTATAGCATGTTATGCAATCTATAGTTCAGCTAACTAACTTATGTTGTTATTTTATTCAAGTGAAAATAAATAAAGAGGCAGATTGTTTCGACTAAGATACTTCCACAGACACTACGTAATGACTAGTAGAATGGCTTTTTTTTATTGAATTCCTCAGTTCCCTTCTTGAGCCCTCACCGTCTGTTTAGTAATGGAAAGGGTAAAAGCACCTTGATTTATTATTGCAAAACGTATCAATCAATCATTTGCCTGCTTGATCAACCAACAGTCAGTCGACCAATCGCTTTAGGCTGCTGACCAAGCCGGGCCGCCTGAAAATGAATCAGCTTATTGCCATGCCCACAGCAAGGGAAACAGTCAGGCAGACAGTCAGGCAGAAAGTCAAGCAGATAGTTATACCATCTGTCTGTCAGCTTAATCAGTTAATGTAATCTGACGGCGTAGTGGCCAGCTCACCAGTTGGTCCGTTGACCAGACAGTATTATTCAGATTATGAAGAGGTTCAACTGAACTGAAGGTTCAAGAAATTAGGAGTCAACAGCCCATGCATGTACACAGAAATGCATCAGAGCAAAATTACGAAAATTTCACCCTTCATCTCAAATCTGAAATTGGTTTCATAAGTTTGATAAGATATCAAAAAATGCCCAATTTTTTTAAAGGTTTTCCGCACCCTTCAGTCAGTGGTAGTTACTATTGAAGAAGACAGAACAAACATTTACCTTGGTTCGAAAAGCAAGAACTAAAGTCTGGTATCAAAAACCTCTTCTTCCCCTTCTTGGAACACGAAAAGAGAAAAATATATATATTAAGCTACTTAATCAGAAGTTATTATTGCTAACACAATTCTAACTTGTCTGTGTTAAAGAGTTTTAAAAGTTGAGGTTCACGACGTCATAAGCCTCGCTTCTAATTAATTAGCTTTACCACGTGGCAGCTATGTTTCCTCCATCTAAGCAAACATCTTTATAGCTAAGAAATGTTACAAAAAGTGAGAGAGCTCTGGAAGATTCAAAGGTGCCATATTTAGTGTCAGTATTGCAAGTCAGGCCGTTCACTGTGACGAAGTACAATTTACTCGAGTATTCCTCTTTTCTCTTAATTCAATCACTTCTGATGTGGACCGCCGTGTTTCAACTTTCCTCAGACAATAGCGTGGACAGATTATGTGTTAATTCATGACCACTTCGAGTCTATGTTGGCTGATTTATAAAGAATTCTACCTTTCTCTGTGTCCTCCATGTCAGGCTCAAGCCGCTTCTTTTCTTCTTCTTCTGCCTTTTGAGCTTTTATAAAAGATGATTAATTGAACAAAAAGTGAATTAGAACTCAGTCTTTCAATTTATTTCTTTTTCCTTTACTTCAGCATGTTTACGAATCATTCATTTTTCATTGGCTACCAAGATGAAAGATATGCCTCAATAACTAATCTGGTGCCTTAACCTCTTGAGTGAGAAACAAAAAACCCTCCCTCTCCTTTACCTTCATCACTAGGTATTAGAATTTCTTCACTCTCCACTTTCTCCTCAGATTTTCCAGCTGTGTGATAGCAAAGTTATTTATTAGAATGAGGTAAAGTACATAAATATATAAAGTTGTCTAGATGGTAAACTCGGCCCATGGCTCTTCTATTAAATCAGTAAATTGGCCCAGTTAGCTTTAAATTTATAAAAAATACATTAATGATAATAATAATAAAGCTTGTATAGTATGCAAAAATAACTAGGTGAAAGTTTTGGTAAATAATGTATAGTTCTTAAAAAAAAAAATGAATCGTTGTATTTACCTTCCTTAGTTAGCTCTTCTGTGTCAAGCTTTTTTTCTCCTTCTGAAGAAATTGAATTAGAACATATTCTACCTCTTAAATGATGTTCATTTGAGGTATTGCAATTGACGAAGGTCAACGTTTGCCACCAATTCATCAATCACTTTTGTCTCTGTTGCTTCAGATACTGAATAAGTGCGTATACAACGCCTACACGTAAATGCCCTTGAAATTTAACTCGACTGACGCAGAGAGCCGAAATTGAACGAGGCAAAGCTGGTGCCCTCTTCCGTCTTCTCCAGAAGACAATGTGTTTGATAAAAGATGCATTAGTACTCAGCCATTCAATCTTGTTTTTACTGAAGCATTTCATGAAATATTTTTTTGGTTTTTTTTTTCAGTGACTTCTAAGGTGAAAGATATGTTTCCATAACCTTCTTAATCTCTTGAGTGACCAATTAAAGCTACCCTCTCCTTTACCTTTGTCACTTGCCCTTGGAATCTCTTCACTCTCCACCTGCTCCACAGGTTTTTTAGCTGTGTGATAGCAAAGTTATTAATTATGATGAAGTATAAGGACCTTAAGACTGACGCATATAAAGCAATAGACTTGCCCTCACTGTCACTTTGTGAGTAAGCCAGGAAATTGGCCCAGATGGCAGATAAGTTCAAGAAAAGGTGACTTCCACTATATGCGGAAATAAAGGAAACTTATGTCGCACAATGTACAGTTCAAGAAAAAAATCATTCTATTTACCTTCCTCAGCTAGCTCTTTAGTCTCAGGCTTTGTCTCTCCTCCTTGGCCTGCAGAAACTTGTACTTAGTACAAAAAAATTTGTAGTCAACGAATGACATTCATTTGAATAATTGAAAATAACGAATCGAAAGTGATCGAAAAATATCTGTTAGAATTTCAATTACACACTTATACAAAAAAAGTGGAACATGTACATTTTGGAAATAATAGCCTCCTGAAAGTGGGAATGCATTTTCACCACACTTAAAAAAAGAAAATATTCTTTGGCAGACATATGCAACAACATAACCCAATTATTCTGCTGAGAAATTTAAATCTTGATATTATGACTTTTAAATATTAATCCTTTTTTATTTTTATTACCATGGATTGCACTACAAGTTTAGGAAGGTTCTTTGCCTTTCAAAATTTTCAATATTTATGTCATAGATTTATCAAAGGAAAACTTGCAATAAGCTCATATTTCCACTATTTCACTAATAATTCAAAACACTAATTAAAAATTATTTGTTTCCTTTTTTATCTCAGGATCTAACACTAACCCTCAGTCTATACCAACACCAGGAGTAAGCAATCCCAACCAACCTTCTCCATCTCTTCAAACAAATCCTAATTTTGATGTTGCTTCCCTCCATCCCTCAACAAGCCAATCCCAACTCTCCCCTCCTCCTGCTCAGCCCAATTCCAACCCACCCTCCACAAACCAATCCCAACCTTCCCTTCCCCCTGTTCAGCCTGATTCCAACCCACCCTCCACAAACCAATCCCAACCCTCCCTCCCCTCTGCTCAGCCCAATTCCAACCCGCCCTCCACAAACCATTTCCAACCCTCCCTTCCCCCTGCTCAACCTAATTCCAACCCTCCCTTGCCTTCTCGACAATCTACCACTCACCAAAATCCCAGCCAATCTCAAACAAGTGTGACCAATTCAGTCATCCAGCCAGAGACTTCCAGTGGTGCAACAAGTGGTGCAACAAGTGCGGCAAGTGGTGTTGTTGGTCCGGTGGACTTGACATTGCCTACAAGTGAATGTAAGTGCTTAATTGATTGGCACATTAGTTATTAAGTTTATTAATGATTTATATTTTAATCCTGTATTTGCATCTTGTGTGGAAGCAGTTGACCCATCTGTCGTAGATAATTATCGTGTGATACACCTGAAACTGTGTTGTGTTGTTTTTTGAACAGATGGTGTCATTGCTTTAGATGATGTCAATGACAATGAACTCGACAGAAGCTATTTAGCTAGTAACCCAGTAAATGTTGACTCAGGTAATATGATGATGACTGATTAAAGAACATTTAAATGCTCGTTTTTTTGCAGACCCCAACCCCAATCCTGATTTGGATTAATCCCTAGGGTGGCAATGGATATTTTCTGAAAACTGCATGTATATTATGCTAGAAATCTAGTTTATTACTGCAAGTAGTTTACATGGATGATTTCCGATTGTATCATAAATTACCATTTAAGAGGCAACTTAATTGTGCACCCTAGGCCAAGCCAAGTTTACACATGAGGTGTGAAGTAAATCGACCAAATTTATGTGAGAAATGAAAGAAATTAAATTTAAAAAAAAAACAAAATTTTTACTCCATGATTTTTTTCCCTTTCAACATAGCATGTCATTTAACTGGCATACATCAGTGGCAAAAAGGTACGTTTCTATAAAATGGATTATAAAACACATACACTTTGAAAAACAAATGTTGAATTAACTTCAACATAATTTTAATTACTTAATGTGTTAATCAAAATTCAAGAGATGAACAACTGTGTCTCATGTAAATGGAGAATAGAACATTCTACTATGCTACAGTATGGTGTGATATAGACTGACAGATTGACTCACTCATTCAGTTTCATGGCATAAAGGAATGCACAATAACTAATGTCTTGATATTCACTTAATTTTATGCCACTTCATTTCAGCTGGGATTGTAAAAGAAGACAAAAGTTCTTTGGGAATTCTCAATCAGAATGCTCAAGGTATGTTGGAAATATTGTCAATAATTCAATGCACTTTAATGCACGGCTCTCCCTGGATGATGACAATAGAAAAATTTCCACTAGATACAAAATAATATCTTGCCAAAAGCAGCATTCTAGCTTAAAATGCATGACTGAGGCTTCCTTATATCTTATGTTGCTATCTGTTTCATATTTTCAGCTAAACATATTTTGAAAAAGCTTTTATTAATCCCCAGTTTACATTTCACTGTAGACTATAAGCACTGGTAGATTAACTGTTTAAGTACAGACAAAACAGGAATTCAAATCCAAAACTAAAATTTTTTTGCCCTTCATTAGGTAAAAGGACAAAACAAAACCAATATAAACGGTGATTATCTTTTAATGAGTAACATGTGCAATTGCATTTTACTATTAGTGAAAAGAAAAAAGGAGAAATAGATACCTTTACTTTCATTCACACACTCTTGGCATTAGTTGGCCATAAGCAAACTACAACAAAAGTTTAAAAAAAAAAAGCTGGGGGGAAGATTCTGGCACAAACATCCTTAATGGATGACAGTTCAATTGAATACCATTACTGTTTGAAAACCACACTCATAATAATTTTGTAGTGCCATTGAATGATATGGACAGAACAAAGGAAGTGCTTTCCTGTGAACATGTGCTCATGGAGGCAGCATCAACCCACGAGGACATTCTTCTGCCAATCTTTTTGACCTTGACATATGAGGAGGTTTGTGTTAACTCTTTAACTCTCAGACCAAATTTGTAATTCTCCTTACTGTCAACCATACAATCCTTGTCATGTTATTTCAGGGAATTTAGTATTGGATCAACTAATTATTCCCAAATTGATATTTTTCTTTATTCTCATCACTTATCTGGTTGATGCTGTGTTGATATTGTAAGGATAAATTCTGTCTAGGTCACTCATGGGAGTTAAAGGGTGTCATGGCAGTCAATTTAGTTCCTGTTATATGTTTGCCCATATAGCTTGCAATTTTTAGGTAAAATGTTTATAGTAAATACAGTTAGCATACCCATGTGTCAATGTGTTAAATTACTGACAAGTAACATGTATTGACAATCACATTTGAAAAAAAAAAATTAGCCTGTAAACTTTTGTGAATTTAAATTGGTCATTATGTTGGAACAGACCCTTTTGGAAAAATATACTTAAGTTACTGTTTTGCTTAAAATGATCAACTTTAATTTCTCTATCTGACATATAATCCTATTCTATGCATTATTAAAATGCACTGTGTCGTGCCATTATACAAAAGAAATGACAAGTCAATGTAAAATTTGACATGTTAAGGCTATATGTTAAATTTTATTCTACTTTAATCTATAAAATTTGTGCATCTAGATGTGTCACCAGGCCAGGTCCGACAGGAGGAGCATGGTCATAGTGATCCTCAAAGGTGACAACATACCTGATGTGATAAGGTGACTATCAATGATTCTTAAGGTTATTTTTATTACTAAAAGCACGCTGCACTCTACTAAAACAGCCTTTTTGCTAACACCGAGTCACCATGACAAATATGTACATCAATATTCCAGTTAATATTCTGTAGATCACGCTCAACAGATATGTTTTCCTCATTAAGATACACATGGCATGAACAGTGGCTTAAAATTTCATGTGGATATTGCTTAAAATCACATGGGTGACATCAGTGGTGGTCATAGCGACCTAGTGCAATGTATGCCCACAAGAGGACCAGTCAAGTAAGTCTGCACCAAGTATTGCTGCTTAGGGAGAGCCTTGTCCCAAGAACCAGTCAGTCTGCCCCAAGTGTCGCGGCTCCCAAAGAACCTTGGGGATCACTAAAGGTTTCTGGTAAACCAGACCAAAAACTCTCGATCTAAAACGACCACGATACCTCGTTTTGCCACTCTGCGACAAACGAGGCTCGATTACGCAATCGAGCCTCGATTTTCCAATCGAGCCTCCATTTTTCAATCGAGCTTCGATTTTCCAATCGAGCCTCGATTTTCCAATCGAGCCTCGTTTCTTTAATCGAGGCTCGTATCGAGAAAAAAAAAAAGAAAAAAGGACAGAGGAGAGGTAAGTAGGGAGAAAAAATAGAGAGAAAGGAAGGAAGGAAGGAATGCACCAGGCGGCAAGCGTAATTTACTTATTCGAGAGGGCCCAGGGTCCCGGAAGGGTTGTATCGGTATGGGTAGAATCCACTGAGCAAATGATTGCAGGCGCATTGATTGCTCAGCGATTGAACAAAACAGAAGGTAGTAGGAAAGCTGCATTAGGCGCTTCTGTGATTTCATGCCAAAAGAAACCGCCAGCAAGTTGTGAATGGGAGATGAATAGATGGAATGCGAGAAAGCACAGAGGATAATTTTCGTTTCTTGGTTTCCAAAAGTTTTACCCGCCGAAAATGGAGTGTACATCAAAGGTACAAAGCGGTTAAGCTTATATTATTTACTGTATTCAATTGTTTTAGGTACTTGTACTAGGCTTAACATCGGTCAATGCAGAGCAAAGGAAAATGTAGTACGACCCATAGAAGCGGAGAGGATGAGAGTCTTAAATTCAGTCTGATAAACAGTTAAGGAACTAAAGTGCTCCTTTAATTACATGGTATGTGTGGTTAATCTTCAGTGAGCTTAACACCCAGAAGTCTCAAGTTGAACAGTTTCTTTAAAATTAGAATTTTCCTAAAAAAAAAAACCCAACAACGACAAGAAAATGTTCAAGAGAGAGAACAAAGTCCTTCACACGGGGAGCGTATATCATTACATACGAGAAACAGTAATAGTTGACACAAGTAAACCAGGCCATACTGCATGTGCAACATTAACTTTTAATTTCAAATGATAACTAGTACTGCATAACACTAACAACGTATACATCAGTTACTGAATTTTTTGGGTTCCGTGCTTATTGGTCATCATCAAAAATATAAACAAGTGTTAGCTTGTTGCCATAAGTGTATCTATATAGATATATATATATATATATATATATAGATATATATATATATATATATATATTGTAATGTACTTCTAACTTTGCTTTCTGTTCAGTGCATGGCAAGAATTAGCCAAAGGGTCTCTGCTCTATTTAATCACTGCGCTCTCACCCATGGGGAAGACGCCTGGAAATGATGGAATTCCTTTTGAATTTTATAAAATTTTCTGGAATTCTGTTGGTGAATTAATGACTGAAGTTTTTAATCAAAATGTCAAATTCTCA